GGAGAGCATCATGCTAAGTGAAATAAGCCAGTCAGAGAAAGATAAATGATCTCACTAATTTGTGGAATATAATGAGCAACATAAACTGATGGACAAAAATAGATCCTGAGACCTAGAACCATTGAACAGATCATCCAACCTCAGAGGGAAGGCGGGGGGAGGGAAGGGATCAACCAAAGGACTTGTATGCATAATCCATGGACACAGACAGTAGGGGGGTGAGGGCATGTGCTGGGGGTGGGAATGGCCAGGGAGAGGTCAATGGGTGAAAAAGGAGACATACATAATACTTCAAACAATAAACATTTTAAATTTAAAAAAATAAAAAATAACTTACTGTCTTAGAAATAAAAGTATTGCAGTCATGTGTATGGTCAGGATGTTTGACTATCCAAGTCTAAAGCACCTTGTCTCCACCCTCACCCACTCTTCCTGGGGACTGGTTAACCACTGTGGACGATCACACGGGATTGCTCCAGTCATCTCTGTGTGCCAGGAGAGTGGTTCTGTTAGAATGCCTTCAAGTGGTACTTGTGAGGACTGCATTCACTTCTCACAAGCCTGTGTTTAATTCCCAGTCTTCTACACCACAGTGCTCAGCTCTGAATGTAAGGCCAGCCTCTGGGCATGGACCTTGGGAATACCTATGGAATAAGGAAGGTCCTTTGAGAAAATCTGTGGGGAAAAAATATTGATGTGTATGAAAGGTCAGCAACAGAGTGGGTCAAATATTTTCTTCGTAAGCACAAGGCTTTAACATAAAAGCAATTTTGAAAGTGTGTTTAGTAGATAGTAATTTGACAATACCTTCTTCTTTAGGTAGTCTTCTCAACAAACCGTGTGTTTAGCAAAGCCTCTTATAATTGTACTTAAAATAAAAATTAAAAAAGGCCACGTATTCCACCAGCATGTTTTGAATACCTCTTAGGTACCAGGCTCTGTGCTAGGTTGTTAGAAGACAGAAATAGTGAAGTAAGGTTATATAAATTTGGTATATAAATTTGATAAATTTTCTTTCAATCCATATTTTTTACTTTAGTATCCATAGATTTCTCTCTCTGTCACACACACACACACACACACACACACTATTTGATGTAAGTTTTTATATTATACTAGGGGCCCAGTGCACAAAATTCGTGCACTGGGGGGCGGGTATCCTTCAGCCCAGCATGCCCCCTCTCACATACTGGGAGCCCTCAGGGGATGTCATAGTGACTGCTTAGGCCCGCTCCCTGCTCCCCTTGGGAAGCGGGCCTAAGCCGCAGTCTGGCCTCCCTTTGTGGGAGATGACCGGGCTGATCAGGGGAAGGC